AGAACTGACACGTGACATTAAAGGAACAAGGGATTTCTTCTTTATCGCCCACCCCCACCCTTCCATGTAGCATGGGGGGAGTGCTTATAAAGCCAGATTCACAAAGAGACCTGTGGTGAAACCGTCCCACCTCCCAAACCACTGCTGCAGAGACACAGCTGTGTCTTAGCTTCCTGGGGAGAAAGAAGACCAGGGTCTCTGGCTGGGCTTCACCCTTGCTCTCCTTACCAAGCACCTGCTGTTGGAGCTCCCTACTCTCCAGGCCTCAAAAACTGCCCACAGCACTACAGAGTTTGTTCCTGCTCTTGTAGGGAGGACATGCACCCCAAGATTCTGAGTAGGATTGGGTTTGGGTTTTCATGGTCTTAAGCTCTCTTTGGAGAAACAAACAGAAAAAAAAAAAAAAAAAAAAAAAAAAAAAAAAAAAAAAAAAAACTCAGTACTTCCCTCTCTTCGGGTTGAAAACTTCCAGCCTCAGAATTACCCAGAATCCCACACCTGCTAGAAACATTGACTGTCTTTACTTCATGCTGATATCCCAGGACCCTGACATCCCCAGAAATAAACCCCCATGGCAGTGGAGGTTTGGAATGCTAGGCTGGGATTTGGGTCACATCAGCCTCCTAGGGCAGAAACACTTAAGCCTCGACGTGTTGCTGCCCAGCTCCTGTGCTTGGACATGTGCCATCTGCTTGGGTGGCTTGTGTGGGACCAGCCCTACTTCCCCAGCATCCATGCTGGCTCCACGCTAGTGATCAGAGTCAAAAAGCCCTGGCAGGCTACCCACAGAAATGAGCTGTAGCCTGTCTGTAAGGCCAGGGCCACTCACACCCCAGAGGAAGCTACCATGCCTTCCCTCCTCTGTGAGCAGTGCATGAGGACCATGTGCTAGGAAAGGGCTGAAGAGGGTTCCCAGGAGAGAAGCCAAGGAGTTGAAAGGTGTTTGGGGAGGGCTGGAAGAATGCAGGAAGAAGGGTAAGGCTGACACAGGGGAGTTTCTGTGAATGAGGTTTATGGAATGCGGGTGAGAAGAGCCAGTGCAGGGAGTGACCTGGGAAAGCACCAAAAGTCCACAGCTCTGGGGATGGAAGACTTCCAGTATCCATACCCAGACCCTGGTGCTCTTCAACCACCTGGACTCTGAGCGGACCCTATTACCCTACAATTTTCTATTAGGACCATAACTCTGGTCCCAAGGACTATAGCCCATAATCCTGTCAGAGTCCTCCCTTCTCAGTGTTGAGCATACACGAACATACAGACAGTGTATAAGACACATAGCTTCCCATGTACCAAGGGCCAGCAGCAGAAGCGTCTCTAAGACAGGCAGGCCAAACCTCACTTCACAGTCTGTTTCTGGTGGAGGTGTTAACTCACTCCCTACTTAAACCAAGAAGCAAAGCAAAGCAAAGCAAAGCCACCTATCTCCCATTTTCATTAAAATTAAAAGACACTCTGCACCTTCTTCATGCTGGGTTCTCAAAGCCAAACTCCACACCACCATGCATCAGACCTACAAGAAGCGGAAAGGGCTGAACCAGGCAGACCAGAAGTTCTGCCACATTTGCTGTTGAAGAGTGACCTCCCCCAGGCTTCAGGGAAGCTGTGGTAAGAAAACAGGGGCCTGAGAGGTTCAAGGACAGAAGCAAAACCAAGGGAAAGGAGTAGCCTTTGGCTACATGGGGCCCAACTACCATGTCCAGGCTGAAGGTTCGGGAGGGTCAGTGCTAGCCTGACTAACATATATATGGCTTTTTAATCAATACTGGGGACAAGTAGGGATCAGGGAAGGGTGCACACTGAACACAGGCCAGAGAGACCTTAGCAGGTTTCCTCCACCACTCACTCGAAATGAATGCCCTGTGTTTTCTGGCATTCAGAGAAAAGTGCCTCTAGAGATGGAAGGATGGGGTCTCTCAGGCTACCAGCACGGAGGCCTGAGGGCCCAGGGAGTCAGGAATAGGAGTTGTGAGCTCATCACTATTCATCCCTGCTCCCCCTTCTTGCCACCTCCTCCTTACCTGGACCTCAAGGGACCTAAACACTCAAGCCTTCCTCTCACAGGTCTCTGGCTCTGTGCACAGTGCTTGTCTTCAGACAGTACTTTTCCACTTACACAAAAAGGGAAACAAGCAGAAGCGAGATGGTGCAGGAATGCAAATGAACTGCCTGCACTGTGCAGAGGGAGGAAGCCTCTGCTTCCCACTGCATGAGGCGAAGATCCAGGAGCTCCATTTTAGCCGTACTGAGTAACGGGACTCCTGTTTCTTCATCCTTTGATACTGTCAACAAGAATCCGATCCTGGGGCTGGCAGTCCCTGGTAGAGTCCAACCAACTAGTGAATAGTTTGTTTCCATGAATGTCCCCAAAACCCCACTCCTGGGGGAAGCCATGGCCATCAAGAGGAAGTCTATAATGGCATCAAGGGCTTTGGTCCCAGTTCTAAACACATCCAGTACCACATCATGCTGCCTTCCAAATGGCCATTCACGAGGACTCTGAAAGCTTCTGGCATCTGACCAGGGCTTTGGGCTTCTTCACACACTGACAGGCCTCCCACTTAGGCAGTGGGCTTTCTTCATCTCGGAGTCCCTGAAGACTTCGTCCTTTGACACAGCTTCATTGTCTGTGACTCATTCCAGAAATGAAGAGAAAGACTCAAAGACAGAGGCAGGCAGGGATGTACAGATAGACAGACTCACTTACTCTCTCTCTCTCTCTCTCTCTCTCTTCCTCATCCCCCCACAC